ATTATGACTTCTTGATATTTGGTGTAATATAAAGCTTGTGTTATCTTGGCTTTTGAAATAATGGAATAAAATCATAGATTTAATTCAGCCTCGTAGAGGGTATATGGTATTAGCCTGCAGAGTGATAATGCTGCCAGTGTAAGCAAATAATTCATAGCGGTTTCTGGCCAAGGGATCCATTCACTAAATTGCAGGAGTTTTTCCTGCCATAGGGTCTATTTACTAAGCTGCAGAAGATTTTCTTTTCCAGGGTCCATTCACTAATCCATTTATTAGGCTGCTGTTCTTTTTGCCATAGGATTCATTCACTAATCTGTAGGCATTTTCCTTGCCATAGGGTCCATGATGTAAGCTGCAGAAGTTATTATAAATGCATTTAGTAGAGTTTGCCATGAAGAATTCCTCATTAAAAACATAAATAATACAAAGATATATATAGTCATTATTTTTGCTATTGGCAAAATCCCTCACTGATGGTGAAAATTAAAGTACGACTAAAAGTTCCTTTATGACCATCTAAAACATTTACCAAATTAATTTGCATGTGATGCACAAGCCTCATAAAGTAAACTTCCTCTACCTTCCCTGACTGAACCAAACCCTTCATTTATCTCAAATTCTTTCCTTCTCAGACACTGCAGCTCACAGTGGGAGGGTTTCAGCAACAGAGCCAGCTCTGTTAGTCCAGAAAGCAGTGGCAGTGGATAGTACTAGGTGTTGCAAGGTGCTAGGTGTGCTTCAGGCCTGTGAATCCCCAGACAATGTTGATAGCCACATTCCTCTGCAAAATAGAACTGACAACTGTGCTCTGAATTCAGGGGATGGACTTCACTGGCAGGATCTACAGGTGTGTATATATAGGACTTTGAAGGGGGATTGCAAAGAAAACTGTAAGGGCAGATGAAGTTACTATTGAGTGCTTCAACAAATATATGTATATTTTTTTTTTTGACAAGAGCTTGGGAAGCATATGCGCTACATCTCAGATCTAAGAATTTCCAGACTTTTTCATTGCAGTACTGAAAAATCCCCTGTGCACACATTGTTCACTCAGTATAACGAATGCTTTTTATCATCCTTGTCCCCACCACAGTAAATACTCCTTGCACCTGTGTGTTGCACGTCTTTCCCCAATGTCTGCTACACAGTGTCGCCATTTTTTTGGAAGCCCACCCCTTACCCTATTTAACACTTTGCTGTCTGGCAGCTTTCTCCCTAGTTAAAACTGAATCCACTGTCTCCACTGTTCCCTAGCTGGTATAGTGAAGATAAACTCCAAACTAATTATTAAAGAACATGTAAACCTAACATTTCATATTCCTGATGGGTGCCTGCTGTACTATGTACTTGTATGAAAAAGTATCCTGTTCTCTTTGTATTGCTTCCTTTGTGTGAAATCCCTGGTGTTTCTGCCAGTCACTCTGCTTTCCTATCAAATACTGACCACACTAGGCATGAGAGTACTGTGTGGTCAGGTCTCTAGCTTTGCTGAGAACGCCTGCTCTCCTCCAATGATCAGACTTTTCCTCACATGCCCCTCCTGCACAACCATTCACTAGGAAGATCAGCGTGCTGCTGTTTCTCCACCCTCATCTCTCTATGCAGCTGAGAATTGTTTTTGGTTTTTTTTTACATCTATACACACATTTTAAACTGTATGGGTTGTTTTACAAGGTGAGGGTTTACTGTACATATACAGTACTTTAAATTCAGCCTGCAGGAGCCCTGCCCCTTCCCACTATTTCTTAGTCCTTGATGGAGGTGTGTTAAGGCTGCTACAAAGAGCTGCACACATCAGAAGAAAGGGTATGAAATGCTGTCCAAGGGGGAATTGGCAGTTTACCACGACTTCAGCCAAAACTTTCTCACCATTTATCCCAAACCATGTTCAGTGTTCTTTTTCTGTATCCGGTTTCTTTTTTTGGTCTGCTTCATCTCTGCTATTGCTTTTACTTTTTTCTTGATAAGCCCATGTTCTGCTGTCTCTATTTTCCTCATGTTCCTGATCATTACTTTCTTTCTCCCTTCTCTCTTTCTTTCCCACCCTCTATAGAACATGTCCTACCTCCTCTCCCTATCCTCCCTGCTCAGCTCCTACTTTGCCCATGTTCCATGGTCAGCTATTGCTCCTCTCCTTCTACCCTCTGCTTTGGCCAGCTTCTGTTCTGCCATATTATGCTCTCTCTACCCACAACCAGTTGGCATTCTGTCATCTCACCCCTCCCCATCCCAAAAGTCAAGTTCAGCCACCATATTGCCTGTTTTTTTCCCTCATGGTTGGATGCAGATTCATCTGCTCGTCCATGGAAACTCATTCCTTGAAGCTCTCTATGCACTGTTGTGCTAATCTGAAGGACACAAAGTTTCTGCGCACTGTGCACTTCAGCATGTGCTGACCCTGCTCTGTCATTTTACGTGGCCTACCACTTTGTGCCTGAGTTGCTGTTGCTCCCAGTTGCTTCCACTTTGTTATAATACCATAACAGTTGACCGTGAAATATTTAGTAGCAATGAAATTTCATATTTCCTGAGAATGATCCATTCGTACACAAATGTTTGTAGAAGCAGCCTGCATGCCTAGGTGCTTGATTTTATACATCTGTGGCCGCAGAGGTGATTGGAACACCTGAATTCAATTATTTGGATGGGTGTCCCAATACTTTTGGCAATATAGTTCATACAACCTATATAGTAGTCATAAGCTATTTTGTAATTTAATGTTCTTAAAGATGATCTTTTTGTGTTTCAGTTTTTAACCACTGTAAATTTTAAATGACACTTTCTCCCAATATGGCAACCTGGAGGCGTTAACAATTGCTCACAAGAATGTCATTTCATGCTTGTGTGATTGGCTTGCTGGTTTTTTCAGAAGTCTGCATTGAAATACAAGTCAAATATTAGGCATCCCCTGCAATAAGAATTTTGTTTAGATGCTTCCAAAGGCTTGCCTACTTCTCAATGGTTTCCAACCCTGCAGCTTTGCTCATTGGAACCCTTAGGGGTTTGTTTACTAAAACTGAAGAGTGCAGAATCAGGTGCAGCTGTGCATGGTAGCCAATGCGCTTCTAACTTCAGCTTGTTCAATTAACCTTTGACAAAAAAAAAATATCTGAAACAGGGATGTTGGATTTCTATCGCTCACCACCGGGCAGGTAGTTTTTTTTTTTTTTTTCTACCTTTAGCCCTGCTGCTGTCAGGTGGAAGCATTCGGGTGGCAGCGCTGCCGCCCGATTGCTTCCACACAGTGCCAGGCTCTCCACCCCCCCCGCCCCCCCGTGAGGTCTTTGCTTGCCCATCTGCGGGCCGAGGACTGGCTTGCCTTCGGCTAGAGGGGAGGGAGAAGAGCATCTTCTCCCCACCTTGTCCTGACCCGGAAGTGACATTATGATGTCACTTTCAGGTCCCTGTTGAGAGATTGTAATGCAATCCCCAGGAACGAATGTAATGTGGTGCGATGTGCACTGCATTACATTCAGTGAAGCACAGGGGAAACGTGCAGGGTCTTTTAGACTCTGGATGTCTCAAAGAGAATCTGTCACCAAAAAATCATCACATGGGGGACTTTGTCCCCTATGTGACGGAAAAAAAAAGTTTTTTTTTTAATTGTAAAAAATTAGTTACACCCAGGCACATACCATCCCCCCAAAAAACATATTGAGGCCCCCCCCCCCCCACATATACGCACATACAAACGTAAAAGCACACGCTGGGGCTCCTTCGCATGAAACCGTTGATTGCAACACACATCACATATTGCCGCACACGCCAGAATGAGAGCAGTAGACCTCCTCCGTAACCCTAAACCGGTGACCTATAAGGGGCTTTAAAAAAATATAGGGAACTGAAGTTCGTTGCCATTTCAGGAGTGTGCACAAATTTAAGGTTTGACAAGTTGGATAGCTATTTACTTGCTGCACCCTCATCTCTTATATTTTACAAAAAAAAGAGTATTTATTGCTTTTTTGTGCCCTAAAATTAACTTACTTGTATTTTTTATACTAAAATGTTGCGGTAAAATCATGCAACATAAAAAAATTGGAACTTCTCTAGGTTCTCTGCTTTCAGAAGATATATAATGTTAGTGAGTTTTATGTAATCTTCAAGCCTAAAATTATTTTTTTAAACTTCTGCAAAAAATGCAAAAACGGCTCTGGCAGCGAAAGGGATAAAGGATGAGCCCTGACCCACCCTTTCCTGAGGAGCAGCCAATCGGTGCTGATTACACTGCAAGGTCTCTCTCCTCCCTGCTGGTCCCCAGGTGTGTTGCTGGAGACAGGCAGGGGGAGGAGATATACAGCGCAATGTTAAAAATATTACACGTTTAAGTTGCCATAACGCCCCTTTTGTTTTTAAAAGCCCCAGACATTCCTATCACCACCGATTTAAATACAGTTTTGGTTAAAAAAAGAAACAATTATAATTTTATTCTGGACAAGTAGATTGTCATGAGGGACAAGTAGATTGGGGCCCCAATTTAGTCCCTGGACAAGTTTTTTTTTTTTTTTTTTAAATTTCCACACCCTTGTGAAAGCTGATTGGTTTCTATGCACAGCTGCACCAGATGTTGTGCTCCCCAGTTTTAGTAAATCAACTCCTTTGATTACTCAGATGGTGACCCTTTTATTCAGAAAACAATCTGAAAAAAACATGGTGAATCAGACAGCAATTTCTTCAGAGCAGAGGGTGATATTAATCTGCTGTAATCCTTGCAATGTATATCGATCCCCAATAAGGGATTGTGTTTTTCTCAACAAAACTGCAGTCTTGAAGTGTTTTGTTACAGAATGAAGATGTGATGAAAGCCTGTGGACACGTAGGCCTAGGAAGTCTCTTTTTTTGATTTTCCATCATTATTTGTAGCAGAATCTTATTTAACTTATACAGCAGAACAAACACTTCTTTTTCCTGATAAATTGTACGTCATATTGAAAACAAAAATGTGGAGCTGCACTTCCAGATACCTCTGCTCTGTTTTTCCACAGGGTCAGAGTATAATTCCCATGCTGACTGGAGAAGTTATACCTGTAATGGAGCTACTGTCATCTATGAAGTCACACGGTGTTCCTGAAGACATAGATGTAAGCTTTTAAATCAGACTTGCTTGAAGAGAATATTTCCAGGTGTCTGGCAGTACAGTGTTTGATGTATTTCTGTGTCACCTTGCTCATAAATCACAGCTGGGGCTAGATCCTAAAAATGTGGCTCTCTGCTGCCCTCTACTTTGTCTACTGAATGTTACTAGTACTACAAGCAGCAATGCTTAAATGACACTTGTGATATATAGAGGAATATTTATGTTGGAGATATGATCACTAAAGAAAGTAGGTTTTCTGATCATTTTTCACAGTGAAATAATTACATGCTCGGTTTGTTTTACTCTTGTGCTGTTACTTAGATTTATGACATGATCAAGCTTAGTTAATATGGCAAAGACTTCCAATTGCAGAAACAAATCATAGCCAATCACAAACTGCTTTAAATTAGCAGGCGCATAATGAGTGTGCATATCAACATTGCATTTTGTACTCCCGTTTTAACCGAGCCAGCAAAAAACAAATATAGTATGCCTTCGTACAAAACAGTACATAACACATGCACGCGTTTGGGTTTATGTATGTATATATCCTAAGACTACACCCAAAAACTAACACAGATACTGGGAATCTATTCTAGAATCTAGTAAAAGCAAAATTTAGGTTCAAGTACAATTCATTTAGAATGTTTGTCACGTAGAAGGATCATTGTGTTCAACATTCAAGTATACAGATAACAAGATGAATGCATCACTTGCTTGTTGCATTCTGACTTAATAAAAAAAAACGAGCTTCTTTTATGTAAAGCCTAACCCCAGGCAATGCAAAATAATTATCCTCTTTCCCAACTTAAGGCCTCATGCACACAGGATGTTATAAATACGCTGCTCCTCTTGGCAGTTTTTTTTTTCTGCTAAAACGCTGCTACTCCTGGATGCACTGACAGTGGGTTTTTGTTACAGCTTCTAAAGACCCCTGCCACTAAAAGCTTCTAAAAGTCTGTGTGCATGGACACATAGGATAATATGAAGGGAGGTTTAGAAGCTGTAAAGAAAAAAAAAAAACACCTGATGCCCCTGAGAGTGTCTGCAAAAACGCCGCGTGCATGAGGCCTAAAGAGTCTATTGCCTATTTTGTCTAGGGAATAGACGGCACACATTAATGTACAGTTTAATCCATGGCCCTGCAATCATCCTTCCTATCCATTCTGCTTGTAATGACTGGTCCCATGAAGCTGCTCTTCTTGCCAGTTTCTTCAGTGCCCACTCATATTCTGCAGATGGAGACTGCGGGTTAAGGTATTGGTGTATGCTAGCTCATCCCCTAGACAAAATTTGCAGCATGGGGAGGGCAATTTTAGTTATCTTAATTATACAGTACAGGACACAGGCTGGATATCCATGGATGCTGAGTTATAGGCTGGTGCTTCCAGGTGATTGGACACTGGCAGTTTGCTCAGCATGCCCCCTAGGCGTTCTCCTATAATCTCACCCCACTTCTAGTGTCCTTTGGTGATTACCATATTGTCTCTTATGGAGAAATTTTCTGTACTTAAAGGAGAAGTATAGCCAAAGTTCTTTTGGCCCTACTTCTCCTATGGATTACCAGAGTGCAATTTGTTCTGCACTCTTGTGGCCTATTTTCAGCTAACAGAGGGCTAAAGCCTGCTGTTGGCCGATGTTGCAGAGCTGCTCCTGGCTATGGAACAGTCCCAACCATATGGTCTGGATCAACCTGAGAAGTTTACCAGCAGCCGCTCCTACCCTATTCACAGTCCAGCACTCCAGTGACAGTCACTGGCTCTCTCTCTGCTCTGTGAATACTGAGAACTGAGCGATCAGCGGTCTTTGATTGGTCAGTTCTCAGTGTAGAGGCAGCGGGGGATAGATGCAGCATCAGATAGATGCTGCATTCACCTGGGTGAATATAATTTATTTTATTTTTTTTGCTAAACCCATACTTCTCTTTTAACTAGTTTTCTTACTTATTTCGATTCCTTCAGTCAACCCGTCACTACTGTTTACTATAACAATAGAAGGGCTTACACAGTGGTGAGGGATTGTAGGTCTATGAAAATCCAGTGTGTGTCCTCTACTGTACAAATAAGGTAAATTAAATTGCCCATACCCCCATAAAGTTGAAGAGTTTAGTGCTAATTTTGTCAAGGGATGAGCAATTTGCAGGTAAGTCAATAGGAGAGCCAGTATGGCTAAATTATGTGTGTATATATATATATATATATATATATATATATATATATATATATATATATATATATATATATATATATATATATATATATATATATATATATATATATATACTGTGTATATATAGTGTCTGTACATACACATCTGTGCAGAATACGATGAATAAAGCTGAACTCCAGGCAGATTAATTAGAAAAACTAATAACTCCCATTAAATATAGTGTTTAAAAAAAATGACACATCTGCACTTAGTCCGGGAGAGCGAGGGGAAGAAGCTGGCCAGTTAATGTCCTGCATGCACATGTGCTGACAAGGACTGGCTCATCAGTCTTTTGCTGTTCCTTAACTGTCAAATCACAAGCTGGGGGCAAGAAGGTGATTTACTTGTGTTGCTTAGCTACATTTGAAAAAAAAGTCAGATCACCAGGCTAGCTATGCATACTGGCAGGACTGGATAAATCTCTGAACTGGTTGGACAGAAATACAAAATCCCAATGGAGGTAATATGGCTTTAATATATGCATTTCAATGGTGTGTTCATCTATTTGCCTGAAGTTCAGCTTTAGAACTGAATACTGTTTTCATTTCGGATGACGGTCCTATAGCTAAATTCCAGGCAGAAATGCAGTACATAGATAAAATAGGTATATAAGGGTGCTGTTTTATCTACCAAAGGGTGTCTATTTCTGTTCATTCATTGCTTTTTTTTTTATGTTTTTGTTTTTTATTGAAGGTTTTATCATGTTACACGTAGAACTGACAAACAACACTTACCAAAATGACATACAACCCTGCTGCAGTACGTTTTACCGATTGAATAGCAGTACAGGGTAAATCATCCAAAACCAAACACATTGCAAATAAACACTGTTGGCATAATAAATCCCAAGAAAGGGCGAGACTGTTCTGGCACTACGGCAAAGTTGTCCATGTACTAAACATTCCTAAAATATGCAGTGCTCTGACAAACCGCACAGCCCTGTCTGGCAGAGCAGAAAACCTGTTTTTTCTCTGATGCAATTAAGCAGCAATTATAGGTCATGTCCCAACCCCCTCCCAATGACTGGACAGTAAAAGGGGAAGTGGCATACTGATGTTCTTATCTGATATTATACTCTCCTCCTATAAGCATTTTACTTGTTAGCACAACTAATTTATTCCCAGTGTTGCCCTTCCCTCTCTCAGACTGAGCTGTGTTGTATTGGTGACTGAAAGAGACTAGTACCAAGTCAGGTTCAGGTGCTGGTTACTGCCACCACTGTGAACAGCATAGCAGGGGAGGGAGATCAGTGAACTTCCATTCACTGATCTCCCATTTATGCTAATGACCAAGCAGCGGTGTGTAAATTGTCACTCCAGGTCTTGGTGTCACTGGCTGGAGAAGAAGTGAATGAGAGTGCAGATTGCACTTCATTAGCTTTATTGGAGGACAGGCAAACCATCAGGGGTCTTTTAGACCCCTTTTGTCCCATTTAAAGATGGCCTATAAACAAAAAATGCATCACATAGAGCAGGGGTTAAAATTTCAAGTCCAGACCTACTAGCTGGTCACAAAACTTACTCTCCACCAGTTGCCCCACCCAACCTTGCCCAGGTCCGCCCCCCCCCAACCACGCCCCCTTAAAGCTTATGAAATTACAAAATATAAAACTGTACACAGTAATGTATATCCCAGCTCCCCTGTACTCCATTATAGTGATATGACATGTATACAGTAATATATATCCCAGCTCCCCTGTACTCCATTATAGTGATATAACATGTATACAGTAATATATATCCCCCCTCCCCTGTACTCCATATAGTGATATGACATGTATACAGTAATGTATATCCCCCCTCCCCTGTACTCCATTATAGTGATATGACATGTATACAGTAATGTATATCCCAGCTCCCCTGTACTCCATTATAGTGATATGACATGTATACAGTAATGTATATCCCCCCTCCCCTGTACTCCATTATAGTGATATGACATGTATACAGTAATGTATATCCCCCCTCCCCTGTACTCCATTATAGTGATATGACATGTATACAGTAATGTATATCCCAGCTCCCCTGTACTCCATTATAGTGATATGACATGTATACAGTAATGTATATCCCAGCTCCCCTGTACTCCATTATAGTGATATGACATGTATACAGTAATGTATATCCCAGCTCCCCTGTACTCCATTATAGTGATATGACATGTATACAGTAATGTATATCCCCCCTCCCCTGTACTCCATTATAGTGATATAACATGTATACAGTAATGTATATCCCAGCTCCCCTGTACTCCATTATAGTGATATGACATGTATACAGTAATGTATATCCCAGCTCCCCTGTACTCCATTATAGTGATATGACATGTATACAGTAATCATTACTGTATACATGTCATCACTATAATGGAGTACAGGGGAGCTGGGATATACATTACTGTATACATGTTATATCACTATAATGGAGTACAGTGGAGCTGTGATATCTATTACTGAGCTCCCCTGGGATATACATTACTGAGTAATGTATATCCCAGCTCCCCTGTACTCCATTGTAGTGATAAGACATGTATATAGTACTTACTCCTAGTCTCTCAGAGTCCCCCGCGGCGGTTGAGAGAGTGTCTCCTCTTAGTGGAGGAGAGCGGACCTCTCCTGCGCCTGTCCCTTCAGCGGCGGTGCCGCAGAAGCCGGAAACCGGAAGTTGTAAACCGGAACTCGGCTTCACAATGAGGCTTGGAGCGCAGGTGCAGTCACTCCATGCCTTATCTGTGCTCGCCGCTCGCCACAGAGGAATTACTCCTCGCGTTGGGCGAGCGGCTTTTTCAAGCCCTGACATAGGGGATTTTTTTGTCCCCTATGTGACAGTAAAAAAGTTTAGTAAAAAACAAAATGTTTGAACGTCAATGCACATATTGGAGGCTCCTACACATGCTACATATCGCTGTGCACACCAGAAAGCAATAACTCTAGGCCAATTATTCATGGATAACTCTAAACTGATGAGCTGTTTGGGGTTTTAAAAGCGTCACCTGTGGAAAATTTAGTGTACTGAAGTTTCACTGTTGCATACAATTTTACTTCTTGACATGTTGGGTATCCATATACTTGGCACAGCTTCATAGTTTGTTTACCAAAACTTGGATAATATATTGCGTTTGTATACACTAAAATTCAATAGTGTATTTTCAACTGAAATTTTGCATTTCATAAACTGTTGTGCTAATATTCTGAGACATAAAAAAATATTTTATTCTCTAGGGTGTCTGCTTTCATACATATATATAATGATTAGGGGGGTTTACATAATCTTCAGGCCTAAAATTATATTAAGTTCACCTTAAGAAACATGTTACACCCATATTAGGGTGTAATCTGTAACATGTTCCAGCTCCTGCTCCACTACCCCTACCCCTGATCTCTTTTCCCTGTGACAGTAGGCGGGGAATCCTCTCTCCCTACAGACGCTGTCACATTTAAAATCACTGTAGCTGTTTGGGGCTCTGTGTGCATGAGATGTGTCATCCATTGACCGAGATCTGTGAATAAATGCATTACAACTCCTGTCTGCCACTGTGGCAGACATACTTGTAGTTCTCAGTGCTGAAGTTGCCCTTATATTTCTTTTACTCTTCCTTCAGCTCTCTAACTTAAAGCTGAAGGGAGTGTGTTCAGGAGCCTGACATTGCACCCACGATCCACTGCAATGCTTTTCAGGCTCCTGTACAAAAATACTTGCACAGTTTTCTCTGCAAAAATGATGTCTTTATTTTTCCCAAAAATTGAGCTTCACCTTTAAACATGGATGCAAAAAATGCACAAACGGCTCTGGCAGTGATGCATTAATGAAAACAAGCTACATTCAATTGTGTCCTTTATATCTGCCTGGAACTCAGCTTTTTCCATCCTAGCATTGCCTTAAGAGTACTGTAACAGCAGTAGGGAAACCTATGCAGCGTACAGGAGAACTTCAGCATCTGCAGAGGATTGAATCCTGCTTTCACCAGTACAGAATAATGTCTTTTAGACCACTGTGGACTAATGGTATTGTAATCGATAATAATGTGAATATTGCTGGTCTCTGCTGTGAAGTGAAGAGATGGCACAGTTTTCCATGTGTTATTCTAATTCATTGCCACAATAGTCACTTCAGCTTTGGCCTTTTTCCAGCCATTACAGTTGCTAAAAGAAAATTAACCTCCTTTTTGTTTGACACTATAGTAAGAAAAAAGGTAATTTCTCACAATTTTATGTTACATTTTCTTTTTCAGATTGCTACTACTGTCCTTAATGATGATGACATAGGTGACAGCTGCCATGAAGGATTTTCTCAGCAAGTAATATTAAATATATTTCTGCTTACAAATTTAGCTTACTTTGCAAAATTGGTCTTCCTTTGTTCATCTAATAAAAGAAAAGTCTAACTGCTAATGCTATAAGATTAGAATGTTAGAAGGTTAGAATATGACACCAAAACTTGATTGTTTGACAGAACCAAGAGTTTTTTTTTTTTTCGTTTCTTAAAATGAGCACCCACCAAAGTTTGAAATTAGCTGCAAGCATTTTTGAAATCTATTTACCTTTTTTTCTGTATGTAAATACATTATCTCCAGTTAGCATTGTTCTACTTAGTGTCATTTTTAGTAGCACTGATGTGGAATCTCATTCTAATGACAGTGACAGAGTCTGCTGTTGCCAGTTATGAGATTTATTTTAATACATCCTCCTTAGCAGTACATATTCATCTTGAATTCACTCAACCATCAGGAGTCCTGTGTACTGTAAGTTTCAAGCTGTTCTAGTTTGAGCATACACATCACTGAGGACACTCCTTGCACCAGTACATCAGCTCTGGGCCAGTCAACACGACACATAGAGGAGTGAATCACCTTTTACTCAAAAGATGAAAATGAACAGCTGGGGGAAGATTAGGTGAACCTGTCAGCATTGATCACTCATGCAAAACCGGGAGCAGGGTATTTTTCATTTTCCAGCTACCAAATACTACCAGCCAGGTTAAGGGAGAATATTGCTATAAGTGTAGAACCTGTGCTGGCAGTTATTGCTTGCAACTGTTTGGTTTTATCTTGTGACATATCCTCAGATATTCCCTTTAAATGAGTTGAGAAAGGTTTCATTCTCTGTTAGGTTTTTATTGCTGTTTGTGTCCCTACATAGGGTATTGGATTTGACTTTCCATCTTAGTGACTGTTGTTCCTGCAACAAAAAGTGAAAGCAAACAAATCATTTTAGAAATGCTCCTGGAACAGGAGATGAGAGGGAATCTCCCACTGGAGATGCCTCTTTTACTGTTAACTGTAAAAGGTGACAATTCCCCCTTATTTCCTGCTGTCTTTTAAAAGACAGGAAATGATGGAAGATCTCCCCAGCAGGAACACAGAATGCAATAAAGAATCAGTTTCTAAACTTGCTCTTCTCGTTACAAAACTTTTGGCTGGAGTTTTACTTTAAATAAAATGCAGGCACCTTGCTTAGTGACATATCTGTGTAAAGCCCACCCCAAAACCCTTATAATTGATGCCTCTTGCGGTGCTTCCAAAATGGGGGAGCATGTGATCTCATCCCACGATGCAGCCCACTGGCCTAGCAACAACCTTCTAGACCTGAGTACCGTTACAACATAGCAGGGGTGACATCACCACTCAAAGCTCTAGCACTGAATATTTTGGTGGCAGCTGTGATGGAGGAAAGAAAAGCGGGGGAGCACTGGAGAGCTGTGTAAAGGTTTGATGAATGGGCTTTACACAGCTACTGTAGCTTTGCGCTGAGATGGAATTATGATCAGGTCGCTTTAAAATCATTATGATTGAAATAATTATGTACAGTACATCTCTGGAATACATGCACATTGGGGTCGATTTACTAAAACTGAAGAGTACAAAATCTGGTACAGCTGTGCATGGTAGCTTGCTCCCTTCACACCTAGGCTTTTCTAAAAATACCATCTTGAAAACCTCTCTATCAAAATAACTAGGTTTTTTTGGGTTTTTTTTTTGCAGCTGGGTACATATATACAACCAAACATTTAACTTATGTTTCTGTGACGTTTTACAGTCCCTTTCATGTGTATTGTTTAATAATCGTTTTCTTGTGTTGCAATGTTATTTGTTGTGTCTGAAAATTATTCATGATTTAAATTTGTTATTATAAAGTATATAAGTAAAGTGGTTCTTCACCCTAGAAACAAAAAAATTAAAAGTCAACAGCTACAAAAACTGTAGCTGCTGACTTTTATTAATAGGACACTTGCCTGTCGAGGGATCTCACCTGAGCCGACTCATCTGGTCACCAGCATCTTTAGTGTGGGAAGCCGATTGTGACTGCTTGTGACTTCACAGCTGGCTATCCACTGCGCATGTGCGAGCCATGCTGCACTTTCTGAATGGTCCCACAGTTTTCTGGAACCTGTGACATGCCTCAGAAGGCTTAGAGGGAAAGAGAAGGGGGAGGGGCCAACGTTCGCTTGGATCACTGCGGCGATCTGACAGGTAGTGGGTACCTGTCAAGACCAGGAACCTGCTACCACCAAAAAAATGTTAAAGTGCCAAAACTCAAAGTGGTTGTAAAGGCTCAAGGTTTTTTTTACCTTCATGCTTTCTATGCATGAAGGTAAAATACTTGTGTGTAGCAGTCCCCCCCCCCCCCCCGCCCCACCCCCCCCCCCCCCCCCGCCCCCCCCCCCCCCCCGCCCCCCCACCCCCCCCCCCCCCCCCCCCCCCCCCCCCTCAAATACCAATGGCTTCCGCTGCTGTCAATCAAAGCCAGTGAGCTAATGAAAGAGAGGGGGCGGGGCCGAGTCTCTGTCTGAATGGACATGTAGAGCATGGACTCGGAAACCAGCCTGCTTGGGTTCCCCAATAGCAAGCTGCTCGCTCTGGGGGCACTAGGCAGGAGGGAGGGGCCAGGAGCACCTGCAGGGGACCAGAGAAGAGGAGGATCAGGACCGATTTGTGCAAAACCACTGCACAGAGCAGGTAGGTATAGCATGTTTGTTATTTTCTTTAAAAGAAAAATGACCTTTTTTATGACGATTGAAAAGTGAAAGCTTGTGAACTGCTATGTGAGTGATGAATACTACTAAGTGCTAATTGTGAAACGCCTGCACCTAACACATACTCATACTAGTGTGCCAAACCAATACTATTTACCAAAATGTGCCGCCCTTCATTTGAAATTGCTCAAAATAAATAATATGTGCATCCAATTCCTACTAGTTATAATGCATATTAAAATAAATGAATATCAATTTCCAAAAGCAATGTCCAAATAATTGTCAAAAACAGTCCATATATGAACGTCTTCAAACTTGCATAGTTCACTATGGAATAAAATATCCCGTGCTTCTTAATTGATTTTTTGTTTTAAAAAAACTTGCATTAGTGTGCTCCCCCACCTGTTGTGCTCTCACCTCAAGTATATGACCAAACTGTTAAGTAAGGTCATATAACGCTTGTGTCCCTTTAAATGGGCCAAAGCATGGATGGGGTGGTATCTTGCTGTTTGGGGTCCTCCTCCACTCAATGATGGGCTCCCCTTCCATGGTGGTTGATATAGAGGAATGAATCAAGTATAGTGTATTATCCTTTAAAACCATTTTATTAATAAAAGTAATGCACTCACATATACTCTGTATATAAACCGCTTTGTGCGCAAAATGTGTCCTCCAGATTTTTTTTCAGTGGTGAAAATCCTAAAATTGCCAGCTGTGTCAGTATGGAACCATCGAGCGGCCCTGACATCAAAGCCCCTCCCCTACGTGTTACACTAACGGTCACGCGGTTTCATCTGGGAAAATTATATTTATTTTGAGCAATTTTAAGTGAAGCACGGCACATTTTGGTAAATACATTTTTAATGTCATTTTGAGGAGGGGGGAGGTGGCATACAAGTGGAACTTGCCCTTTTGGGTCAACGTTCCCCTTTAACTGTTGAACTAACAGGTCATAGCGTGATGCATATACAGATCACTGGATTGGATGACAATTTAATATCTATGAGCTACTTAAGGTCACTGCTTTCTGAGATGTTTTGCTACCTGAAGTCACAAGGGTTTCTGTTATCTTGTAGTGCTTACAGAGCCACTGTGAATAATAAGTGTTTAATGTAATTCTTTACCTAGTCACAAGTAAAGAAAATAAATGCGCGGTGTGGAAGCTGACGCCTTATATTGCTTGCTTTCTTACCCTTCCTGTGTTCCCCCACCTATCAATTCAGCAATTTTCAGCTACATCTTGTTTGCATGCACTTGCTCCAGCAGCTACTTGTGTGTCTGCACAGCTGCTTGTGTTTTCTACCAGGGGCATATGGGACAGGGTGATAAGGCAGGAGCAGAATTTGAGTCATCCCGTAACAGGTAGTGTGTGAGTAAAAACTGAAAATAGCATTTTGGAAGCAGGCAGGAGGCAAATAACTTGTCACCATGATTACCCATGGTGTTCCTTTTCCATATTACTGACTTACTACAGTATGTTCTGCACTGTTGAGGTAGCCATCTTGGTAGAAGCATAGTTTTGCTTTTTCTTGTCAGAGCCTCTATCAATGAGAACGGTGAGCTGCACAGTAATTTGTACTGCAAATCACCTGGTACTAGAAGTCACAGGCAGCAGTGCCTTAGATCTCTTACCTTGGATATACAGCTTTGAGCTTGTATTTCAGGAGGAATTCAAGACAAAATGTTCATTTTTCTGGGTACTGCTTGGGCACAAAAAACATTTCTAGATGTTTCCTAGAACATAGCAAATCTGGAGTTCATGTGCATGTTTTTAATGATGTATGTTTTGTGTTGTTTTCTTAACAGTGCCATCAGCTCACATTTGCAAACATGTGGCTGCTCTGTGGTGGTGGGTAGCAGCGCAGAAAAAGTGAATAAGGTAACTTAACTGAGTGACTTATAGATGATCACATAAAATAAATGAATGTAAAAATGCATTCAAGAAAATCAATCAAGATGTTTTTGTGCTACCAGAGCAGTTTCACTGTGATTTGGCTCCATGGAATATGTTAACCACATACAAAATTGCATCAAGGTTGCATTACATGATCACACTGAAAGTCGTATTGGAATCAAGTTGCAGTATTGTGAACCGAGCCCTAATGTCCATCTCTTTAGTTGTTTGTGAATAAAAAGAAGACAACTTGAGTTACACAGATCATTTTTGTGTTTACATCGATCATTGCAGTTATTTTATTGTGGGAAAACAGTCATCTTGTGTTTATACTGACTTGTGACTTTAACTTCTTAAAAATGCAAACTTAAAGGCCAGTTCTGACACTTATCATATGTCTCTCATATGTAAAATTCAGCAATGTTTTTGTTAGAAAACTACTTAGAACCTGCAAACATTATATATTTTATAAAAGCAAATCCTCTGGAGAATTATGTAATGGCTGTTGCACTTTTTTTATGTCACATGACATAAACTTAAGGCCAGTTCTGACACTTATCATATGTCTCTCATATGTAAAATTCAGCAATGTTTTTGTTAGAAAACTACTTAGAACCTGCAAACATTATATATTTTATAAAAGCAAATCCTCTGGAGAATTATGTAATGGCTGTTGCACTTTTTTTATGTCACATGACATATACGCAGCCGTTTTTCAAATATACATTTTCAGGAAAATATACACTTTAATAAATTTTAGTTCACACATGCAAAATATACAGTGCCTTGAAAAAGTATTCATACCCCTTGCAATTTTCCACATTTTGTCATGTTACTACCAAAAACGTAAATGTATTTTATTGGATTTTATGTGATAGACCAACACAAAGTGGCACATAATTGTAAAGTGGAAGGAAAATGATAAATGGTTTTCAAAATGTTTTACAAATATCTGAAAAGTGTGTCGTGCATTTGTATTCAGCCCCCTGAATCAATACTTTGAAGAACCACCTTTCTCTGCAATTACAGCTGCAAATCTTTTTGGGGATGTCTCTACCAGCTTTGCACATCTAGAGATTGAAACGTTTGCCCATTCTTTGCAAAATAGCTCAAGCTCTGTCAGATTGGATAGGGAGCGTCTGTGAACGGCAATTTTCAAGTTTTGCCACAGATTCTCAATTGGAATTAGGTCTGGACTTTGACTGGGCCATTTTAACACATGAATTTGCTTTGATCAAAACCGTTCCATTGTAGCTCTGGCTGTACATTTAGGGGTGTTGTCTGGCTGGAAGGTGAACCTCCACCCCAGTCTCAAGTCTGCCGACTCTTAACAGGTTTTCTTCTAAGATTGCCCTGTATTTGGCTCCATCCATCTTCTCATCAACTCTGAGCAGCTTCCCTGTCCCTGCTGAAAAAAGCATCCCCACACCATGATGCTGCAACCACCACATTTCACAGTAGGGATGGTGTTCAGGGTGATATGCAGTGTTAGTTTTCCACCACACATAGCGTTTTGCTTTTAGGCCAAAAAGTTCAATTTTGGTCTCATCTGGCTAGAGCACCTTCTTCCACATGTTTGCTGTGTCCCCCACATGGCTTCTCGCAAATTGAAAACGGGACTTCTTATGGCTTTCTTTCAACAATGGCTTTCTTCTTGCCACTCTTCCATAAAGGCCAGATTTGTGGAGTGCACAACTAATAGTTTTCCTGTGGACAGATTCTTCTACATGAGCTGTGGATTTCTGGAGCACCTCCGGAGTTACCATGAGCCTCGTGGCTGCTTCTCTAATTAATGCTCTCCTTGCCTGGCCTGTCAGTTTAGGTGGATGGCCATGTCTTGGTAGGTTGGCAGTTGTGCCATACTCTTTACATTTTTGGATGATGGAGTGAACAGTGCTTCCTGAGATGTTCAAAGCTTGGGATGTTTTTTTTTATAACCTTATAACCTAACCCTGCTTTAAACTTCTCCACAACTTTTTGCCTGACCTGTCTGGTGTGTTCCTTGGCCTTCATGATGCTGTTTGTTCACTAATGTTCTCTAACAAACCTGAGGGCTTCACAAAACAGCTGTCTTTATATTGAGTTTAAATTACACATACAGTTGTGTTCAAAATAATAGCAGTGTGTTGAAAAAAGTGAATAAAGCTCAAAATCCAAAATCCTAATAGCTTTTATTTCCATACACACAAATGCATTGGGAACACTACACATTCTATTCCAAATCAAAACATGAAGAAAAATATATCAAATTTGTGTTGTTCCTCTAAAAAAATTGAAGAAAAGTGAATATTAGACTGTTCAAAAAAATAGCAGTGTTTGTATTCTTCTTTACAAACTCAAACATTCACTATATAAACTGAAAAATGTTTGAAGATTTTGCTTTCCTTTGAATCACTTAATTAATATTTAGTTGTATAAGCACTGTTTCTGAGAACTGCTGTACATCTGTGTTGCATGGAGTCAACCAACTTCTGGCACCTGTGAACAGGTATTCCAGCCCAGGATGATTGGACTACATTCCACAGTTCTTCTCTATTTCTTGGTTTTGCCTCAAACTGCATTTTTGATGTCACCCCACAAGTTTTCTATTGGATTAAGATCCGGGGATTGGGCTGGCCACTCCATAATGTCAATCTTGTTGGTCTGGAACCAAGATGTTGCACGTTTACTGGTGTGTTTGGGGTCGTTGTCTTATTGGAACACCAATTTCAAGGGCATTTCCTCTTCAGAATAAGGCAGCATGACCTCTTCAAGTATTCTGATGTATTCAAACTGATCCATGATCCCTGGTATGCGATAAATAGGCCCAACACCGTAGTATGAGAAACATCCCCATATCATGATGCTTGCGCAACCATCCTTCACTGTCTTCACAGTGTACTGTGGCTTGAATTCAGTGTCTGGGGGTCGTCTGACAAACTGTCTCCGGCCACTAGACCCAAAAAGAACAATCTTACTTTCATCAGTCCACAAAATGTTGCGCCATTTCTCTTTAGGCCAGTCAATGTGCTCTTTGGCATATTGTAACCTTTTCAGCACATTTCTTTTTTTCAACAGTGGGACTTTGCGGGGGCTTCTTGCAGATAGCTTGGCTTCACATAGGCGTCTTCTAATTGTAACAGTACTCACAGGTAACTTGACACCTTCTTTGATCTTCCTGGAGCTGATTGTTGGCTGAGTCCTTGCCATTTTGGCTATTCTTCTATCCATTCGAATGGTAGTTTTTCGCTTTCTTCCACGTCTTTCTGGTTTTGGTTGCCATTTTAAAGCATTTGCGATCATTTTAGCTGAGCAGCCTATCATTTTCTGCACTTCTTTATATGTTTTCCCCTCTCCAATCAACTTTTTAATCAAGGTACGCTGTTCTTCAATTACACAGATGTCTGGATCAGCAGCATGCATGTTATCACTGTTAAGGGTGCCACCTGTTGGACTTTCTATTATTTTACTCTGTTCTTCAATTACACAGAACAGCATGCATGCATGTTATCACTGTTGGGTCTGTTGGATTTCTATTACTCTACTACACCTGCTAGTAAAATATTTACCATGTAGAAATATCATTTCTACCAAAAACAGTGATTGATCAGGTTAGTGATGTCTGACTGCTATTATTTTGAACACAACTGTAGGTGGAATCTATTTACTAATTAGGTGACTTCTGAAAGCAATTAGTTCCACTAGATTTTAGTTAGGGGTATCAGAGTAATGGGGGCTGAACACAAATGCATGCCACACTTTTCAGATATTTATTTGTAAATAATTTTTAAAAAAATTTACGTTTTTGGTTGTAACATTACAAAATGTGGAAAAGTTCAAGGAGTGTGAATACTTTTTCAAGGTGCTGTAATACCTAATTTTTTGGTAAAATATAAAAAATGTTACACTGAGTAAAGAGATACCTAACATGTTATGTTTCAAATTTGTGTGAGCCTGAGGAATGGCAGCAAAGTATGGTACATTAAATTATCCATAGGCGACACTTTAAAAGTCTTTACTAGTTACCAGTTTGGAGTTAAACAGGGGTTCTGGCACTAGAATTATTGCTCTCACTCTGACATTTGCTGGGATCTACATGTGCGTTTGCATTTGCACAGGAGAACAGGGATGCTTTCATTTTTTTATTTTTTAATTCAATTTATCTTTTATTTAAATGTATTTTTTTACACTGTGTGTTTACATTTTTTGGGGGGAACAACTTTATTGCTATTACAAGAGATGAACAGCATCCCTTGGACGCATGGGCAGTGACAGGTACTCTTTACTGAGAGATCTTTTTCATTGCTTGCGATGTAAGTAAAGATGCATTCACACTATAGTGTTTTGTGAATGTGCAAAAACACTTGTCGCGCTTGTGTTGCCATTAATTTCTAATAACACCCCAAATGCGACGAGTATGCATGCATTTTTTGCATTAAAAAATATGCAACAAATATAGTAAAATGCACTAAGCATGATGTTCAAAAAGATGTATGAGCTACTTTTCCAAACAGAGAGCAGCATAGGTTGCCCTATGCATGTAGCGCAACAGTGTGCATCAAAAATGGAAATACGCAATGCCTGATGTCATGCGTCATAGTGTGAATGGGGCCTAAAAGGTTTGTTCATGTGATCCTCTTAAAAGAGAAGGAATAAGGTGATCTGAACTGTGATCCTTACCGTCAGCAAAGATCACATGACTAGGGACTAGGCCTTCAAATATGCCCAACACGAAGACAGCATTTTCTTCAGAAAGGAATTCTTTTTAGGATTTATTTTCCTAAATTAGACAAATAATATCATTTCACTGTAAACGCCTTTTTAAGAAATGCATGATTTTCTTTAATGTTGGTTGAATGAAACAGAAATTTACAGATGCTACAAAGCAGGATGCATGCTTGGCTCAGGGACATTAAAGTATCATTTGTGTGACCATTATACTTCAGAATAAACCCTTTGTTTTTGGAATTTTGTGATGGCAGTGAGACTTCCTTCTGTATTAAGAA